TCAATCAAAATTTTCAAGAGTAATTCAAAGAGGGTCTGCAAAGCATGTTACAAGCTTCCTGAAAAGTCTGAAAACTTCTTCAGAACATGCTGGGGCAGGGAGATTCAAAGATCAGAAGTTGGATGTTTGTTCTAAGTTACGTTGATGCTGAACTTCTGACCCGGATTAAGCTATGATACATAATCTCATATTGCAGGTTTTCTATTTTGATAAATCTCATCATCATTTCATGCTCACACCCACTTTTGAGTCTTTATCCAAAGGATTTCCCCACGCGTGACATAGAAGTACCATTGTTGTCCTTGAAAAGCAAACTTTTGTACAAGTTTATGTTGGGCCCATGCTTTGCTTTTGCTTCTGAGAGTAATTTTCCTTAATTCATGCTTACAAATTCAGATTAAGTCCGACTAAAGCTGCTAACCACCTTACTTTGTGCCTTGAACCATACTTGTTTAAACTTGCTTCAAGAACAAGTCAGCGCCCTAGCATATGATGGTTGTACTCTTGACTTCTCCAAGCTACTAAGTCCTTGCCTTTAAATTGAACTTCATTTGCAATAGTAAAGAGGTCGAGAGTTGAGAAAAAGCTTTGAAACTTTGTTGAAATGTCAAAGAACTTGAAACTGTAAACACAAATACAAAACCTGCTAATTTCTAGTTTTTGCATCCAAGCTTTAATATTCCTTGTGCATTTCCCAACCAAATCACCCACACAGCTTCTAATATACATTTAGAAGTCGTCCCAATTTCTGTTTCCAGACTGTAAAACCTTCTTCATCAATCTCCATCTCAAAAAAAAAACTTTGCTTCTTGGTTGTTCCAGAACATTTCAGCCATCCACAACTCAAGTTAAGGTTTGCTTCAGCTTTCTGAGAATTTGAGGAAACTGACCAGAACATCACAACAGTCAGAATCAGGCTCTAGCTCACAGAATAATTTGTAGTTGCAAGGTAATTTTTCTTCTGTTGACTTTTATCACATTACGTAGGAATTAATAGATTTGCATGTTCAAAAATACAATGTAAACATCCTGACTCTGATTCTGTACATATTCATAGATTTTGTGCATTTTTTTGCCTAAGTAGAGAGAACTTCAGTTCAGAACTTCTGAGGAAATTAGGATCCAAAATTAAGATTAGCAAAATTCATGCTTGCTTCTGATTTACATTTCTAATACTTTATACTTCTGAAACCATGATGAAACCTTCTATAACTGATATGTTTGCATTTTCTGTTTTATTGAGAAATGGCTAAGCTGCAGATGCTCTGACTGGCATGGAGAAGGAGATGAAATTCATCATCAGAGTTTACTTTGTAATACATGTTTATATTTTTGCTTCTAATACTGGATGTATAGTCACCCCAGTGATAGAGAGCGTGTGTATAAGACATTAGTGCTAAGGGTCCTGAGTTCTAGCCCCAGAAACACCTTTTTTATGTTTAATTCTTGACATTTTTTACCCCATTAGTTGGATCAGAACTTCTAGATCAACCCCCTTTAATTGTTTGTAAAAACAGTGATACTGGACCAGAACTTCTAGACATTCCTACCCAACAGCATTGGTACCTCACATACCCATTATCAGAACTTCTAGCTTGCCAGTGACACTAGAACTTCTAAGTTTCCAGTTACATCAGAACTTCCAGACTCTCTCAACCACCAGAACTTATGACCTTCCAGCAACATTAGAACCTCTAGGCTACCAGTTGCATCAGAACTCCTAGGATTTCCCTTGTTCCCAGCAACCCCAGAATTTTAGTGTATCCGGACCCAGGACTTCTGACCTTCCCCTTTTCTGCTAACATTTTCTTTCTGATTTGCAGCGCACCAGAGTCAGAACTTTTGTTCTCTCTTATCTCAGCAGCGCGCTGATTCTAACCCTTTTCCTCTTGTTATTTTTATCATCATTTTATTTTTAATAATCAAAACACCAAAAATATTTTTATACTCATATACTTTATTTTTATTTCTTTTAAAACCAAAAAGATTAAAAATATTTTCTTAAGCAAACTGATTTCTTCTCTTAACAAAAACAAAACAAGTCTATTTTACATTTCTTGCACATTATTTCAATATGGTTGTAATATATAATTAGGGGTTTAATTTTTTGTAATCCCCATTTGTAAATTTGTACACCCTATCCCCCTAATGATTGTAATAGAATAGAATATTTACTTCCTGCAATTTACCGCTTTCATATAAATGCTAGTAAAGTAAGATTTGTATGGGAAGATAAAATCAACAAGTAGACAACCCTTAATCAAAGACTAAATGCATGCAAATCAAACACACTATTCACACATGCACCCCTAGGGTTTAACTTCACTTGTTGCCTAAAAAAATGGTCATTCTATGCATGTGGAATATCTTAGCAAAACAATCAAAAAATGCAAGATCACAGTCCCTCGATGACGATTCGAATGTTGCCTTTCAAATGATCTTAGTCCCTCAAAGAGAAATGCTAAGATATCTCATAACATTGCTATCATGACTATACGATGACCCACACCCGTCTCTTTTTACATCCAAAGATAAGACTTCTTACCAATCAATGGTAAGATAGAAATATCAAAGGAAAGGAGGAAATTATTGAAAGATTTTTTTAGTAGGTAAAAACGTTCCTAGTTGCTTGCTCGCTTTCAAAACAAACACACACCAAACACTTTTAAAACATGAAATATTTTCAAAAGTCCAACACTTTATATACGTTCTTATAAGACGAGAACCATTGCAAAGTTTTCCTAAACGAAGGCGCTTTTTTTCTTTCAAAAATACTTTCAAAAACCACCACAGAGTACATTTTCAAACAAAGCAAGTGATTTAGCAAGAAACTAAGAGCCCATAGATAACTATAGATGAAAAGGATGCTAATACCTTCCTTTTTCATAATTTATCCCCCGAACTCAATAAATAATCTCAAAGGTCTTTCCTGTTTTTTCACCCTTTCCTTTATTTGGATAAAAGAAAAGTCAGTGGCGACTCTTGCTAACCGCAACAATTGCGATCAAACGCAAAACATCACAAGTCAGTTATCCCACTGTATTACAACTCATAACAATGTTTTATGTGTAAAACACATTTTTAACTCATTTTAAACATGTTATATTATATTTTTATAATGCACACAAGTAGATAACATTTATTGATTATTTCACATATATTTGCTATCATTCAAAACCAATTATGAAGGGGTTGCTCACACAGAGTCCTCTTGACCCCAAAACGACCGCATCCATGTCTCCCTGATAGTTCGGAGCAGTTCATTCAGGATGTAGACCACGCGCTGGTCTCCACTACACACATAAATTCTAACAGTCTTCATTTGGGCCTGCTTAGTCAGCCTAACACGGGGACCTTGGCCCAGCGCTGGAGGCTATAAATATTCTCTCACTTGAGAGAGCTAGGTATTCATTTACTCACTTACTACAGTACTTGCACTCTGATTGCACTCATTCTTACTTTGGCATCGGAGTACCTTGTATGTACATCCTCCTCCACTTCACTTAATAACTATCGTGCAACTCAAGCTCGTGGGTTAGTGACGATTCCTTCTGATCAGGTACGATCAGTTTCGTTGTCCAAATACCTTAACATCAATTTCTTTCCACTGGTATTATCTCCATTCATGACTGCGAGTTGACATAAACTTATTATAGTTGATTTTGTTAACAACAGTCATCGAGTTCAGGTAAAGTTGAAACTCGACCGATTGTCCATTGCCTTTTGTATTTGACCGTCGGAAACAGAACCGTGCTAAAGGTGCAAGAGTATGATAAACATCATATACGGGACACGTATAAGACACTGGTAAGAAGAAGTTAGGAAGTCAATATAATTTATTTTATATTGATATTGTAGTACATTTTATATTATATAAATATATTTTATCAGACTAATTGTGATTATACAGATACTAATATTAATATTGTCATACTATTTTATTAGAAATGTCAAAAACTTAGTTTAAAAAACAAAAACATTTAAAAAAATCCATTGTCTATCAGAAATTTTAAAATTTTCTAAAAATTTAGTATGTATCGGATTTTTCAATATATTTAATATCTAATATATATTGCCGACACTTTTGAAAAATCTGATAGTTACGAAGACACTTGTGCTATTTTTTTTTTTTTGAAAAATCATACATAAATGCACTGAATGTTTATAAAATATGATATTTTTTCATACTTTTTTTAGAAAAATAATATATTTTTATCAAATATTTTAAAATATCTGATATTTCTTCAAATAAACTAAAAAAATCTGATATTTTTTGCAAAAGTCGAGTATAAAGTCCAGTAGTATTCCACCAAACTAAAAAAACCGATTTTATATGAAAAAATTCGATATTATACAACACTTTAAAAAAATTGAAAAAACATAAATATATGGCTCTTCATTATTTCAAGGATTAATGACATTACTTGGATCATGCGACACGCGACACTTTCTCTATGAGAAATTAACATGTCACCCTATATGTTATACATGCCACTCCTTTATTTTTTTCATTATTCTCAAAATACCTTTTTTTTACTATTTACTCTATTTTTTATCTTTTGTCAAAAAAATTTACTACAGATCAAAGGGGATAAAATTCGAAATTTTCGGTGTTGAATTTTGTCGCATACCGGAAATTTTCGATAGCGATTAATAAAAAATTTTGAAATTTCCAATTGCGATTCACTGAAAATTTTAAAATTTTAGTAATAATTTTCAAAAGTCATCACATATAGTAGAAATTACACAAACTTGAAATTTCTGCTATGTTTGCAGATGAAATTCCAGTTAACTACCGGAAATTTTAAATTTCCGATTTGTTTCACATATCGAAAATTTCAAATCTCTGGTATTTACAAAGATGGAAATATACCAGAAATTTAGAATTTCCGTACTGTAAATTTCAAATTTACGATTGAGTGCATATGCCACAATAAAAAATTAGAAATTCAATGCAATTTCTGATATGTTTATAAAATTTCCGGCATGAAACCGAAAATCCGGTATTTTACAAAGACAGTTTGGTAAAAGTGTCTATAGTGGGGGAGACATCTATAAAAATTGGGGTGGCATGTTTATTTCTCTTCCTCCCCTACGAGTTTATCAAAATTTTCCCACCTCTTGTCTTTCTACTTCATGTTTACAAATTTCCATATACTCTCAGTCTCTATCTAAGCTTTCAAACCCATGACGGTGCATGTAATGTGAGTGAATATATTGCAAGCATACACTTGTCTGTTGATGCCAGAAGAAAAACATGGTATCTTCATATATTACTTTCATTGCCAGAACAAGGTGTATCATTAGTGTCGTCCACAGGGAAAATGACAAATCAAGTACCACACAATGTTCGGTTGTTGAAAAAGTGAAAATGATGTATGTCTAGTTTTATCAAATGCAAATCATGCCATGAAAGAAAAAGTTCAAGGCTAAAACCATGAATCTCATACTCATAGTTATATATAGAAAAAGATAAATAATATACAAATCGAAAAAGTGAGTAGGTTCTCTATACCCCCACATTACTCATTAATATTCACCACTAAAAAGGAACCATATTCTCTTCTTTTTGCACATAGAATAGAAAGAACAAAACAAAAGCAAAAAGAACGGAAGACTAAAAAGTGGGGTTTGTTTCTAGATGATTCTTTCTCCAAGTGATGATGAAATTACATAAAACACCCATCCATCATGTAGTGGCACAAAATCTCACCCACACTCCCACAACTTTTTGCCTAAAAGGTTTATTATTTTGTTTTAGTCCCTTAAAGTTACTAGCCATAAAGTAAAAACAAGGGATAGTAACAAGACATGAGTACATTTTTTTAATTGAACCACTCCATTAGGGTCAGAGAAGCCACTTCCATTACCAGTTGAAGATGTTGGACTCATACCAAACACATTAGGACTACCTGTGGTTGAGCCAGTTCCGGTTCCAGTTCCGGTGCCTGTTCCTGTGCCTGTACCTGTTCCTGGTGTTGTACCTGTAGGAGTGGTTGGAGTTATGGTGGAAGGTGGTGCTGTGCCTACAGGTGTATTGGTTCCTGGTGTTGTGCCTGTACCTCCTCCTGCATTGCTGCATTTTGAAGCCAGATAAAATCAACATATAATGATTTCATCTAGACTAATGAACTTCAAGGATCTTTTTAATTTTGGAGATTCAGGATAAATTAGTTACGATTTAACTGTGACGAAACAAATCAGAGTCTTCTCAGCCACGATTTAACCATGACAAATTTTAAACCATGTACGGTAACCCGTCTAACTGGCCGTCTTAAATTTTTAAGACTCTGGTAAATTAGTCACAGTTCAACGTGACAAAACAAATTAGAGTCTTTTTAGCCACAGTTTAACCATGACAAATTTTGAGTCATGTAAGGTACTCAGCCCAGCTGGCCGTCTTTTGGAGACTCAGGGTAAGTTAGTCATGGTTCAATTGTGACAAAACAAATCTAAGCCTTTTCAGCCACAGTTTAGTCATGTACAATAGTCTAACCGCTCACCTTACACGCTCTGTATAGCATTAAATATGGTACAATGGCCAAACTTGCATCCAAACACATGCAAATAAATATTCTATATTTTTTAAGATTTTTTTTCATTTACAACTTTAGATTACTTTATTATATATCAAATAAGATCACAGATCTAGGAATAATAAACATTTGAGGGTGAAGAGTACAAAAATGATTAATAGTGAAACATCCTATTCATGACAGCTAATGTTGAACAAAAAACACAATCATATCATGGCTTGAATGTAAATTCTTGTCTAGAAACAGTGGATACAGTATCAACCCCTCAGAAAAAATGGCTTTTTGCCTAATCTAAACTTCAAAAGCATTACCAAAAAGTAACATAAAAAACACATCAAAAAAAATAAATTCATGTTTATCACAGTACTAATGAAACCTAGAGCAAACCAAATGTAACCAAATCCAGAAAAGCAAACCAATTTGGTTTCATGAAAAGATGGTTTGGTTTATAAATGAGTCTAATTGTAATACGTTGTGAAAAACAAACTCAACAAGTTATAGCTAGAATTTCAGAGATGTAATATTAAGGCCAAATCACTAGATAGATAAAAAGGAAAACAGCAAGATCCATAGAATATATAATCAAAGAACATACCCACTTGAGGGAAAAACACATGTAGTTGTTGAAGCTGTAGATCAGAGAGAAATGAAGAAAATTAGTATGTAAAAAAGTGATTTTTGGAAAAGGGTTTTGAAGGATGGTAGAAAATAGATGAAACTTACTAGTAGGTGGAGTTGGACTGGTAACAGCAGAACCAGAAAAATCACAGCTACCTTGAGTTTGACCCTTTTTCTGGAAATAGCTATTAACAGCATAATTGCAGTGATCTTTCACAGTATTGGGCTGAAAACATGACCCAGATTGTAGAATAGGTGTACAATCAGCACCAGCACCACAAGCATAATCTATGGCCCTCTGAAGATTTTGATCTCCAACACCATCTTTACACACACAATAAAGAGCACCACCTAATAAACAAAAAATATTTTAAAAAACAGAAACAAAATTAGTAGTTAAACAATATAAAAATCTTATCTTTTCTCCAAAATAATAAAAGGGGTTAGATGAAATTGACATAAAAATTAACTAAAATCTTTAGAAAAGGGGAAAAGGGGGAACTTTTTGATGAAAAATGGATTTTGCTATATAAAGAGTTTTATGTATGACATAATCAAAAGAAAAGCAAGAAAATAAAAAGTGATGAGATGGATTGTTATAGTTGAAAAGTTTGTTTAACTACTTGAATGAAATAAGCAAAATCAAATTTAGTTGCTTACTTGAATATCCTGTTAGAGAAAGGAAGAGCAGAAAATAAGGCAGAAGAACCATGATTAAGGAAGATTATGATGTTATAAGAGAAATCTATTTGATGAAGAAGTTGGATCAAGTTCAGAAGGATACTCCAATATGTGGCAGAGAGAGAGAGAGAGAGAGAGAATGAAGAATGAAATTTCTGGACAAGAGATATGTGTCTTGAACAGTTTTCTAGTACTATTATGTGTAATAACGTTATTATTTGTACTTTAATGTGTATTATATACTTTACTTTATAGTAACAAAAGAGTAATTTGATGTATGCATAACAGGGAAGAGTGTTGTTGGGAATTGTATTAAAGTTGAAACTTATGTAATACTATATATAATATTATACACGTATGTGACTAGTTTGTCTATATTATATCAAACGGTTGTAAACTCATGTTGGTAACTCAAGTTAGTTTAAAATGGTTTTTGTGTGACCACTGCCTCATGGGTCTTGTTGCATTGTCTTTGTTGATCTTTTCTTCTAGAGTGAGTTGGCTTAAGAAATGTCTAATACCTAATAGTCTCTATAGTGATCCTAACCATGTATTATGTAACACACCAAACTTATATTAACAGTCTCTATAGTGATCCTAACCGTGTATTATGTAGCATACCAAACATACATTAATATGTGTTATTTTTGGATCTATTATACAATACTAAAAATCATCACGTTTGTCAAAATAGTGGAAGATTATAAATTCACTACGTCAAAAGTGATTTTTACCAGCGTATATTAGACAGCGCTTTTATACAAAAGTGCTGCTATAAATAAATTTTAAAAAAAACACAGAAACTGTATAAAATAATTAGTAAAAGCGCTGCTAAAAATATGACTTTAGACATCGCTTTTAAAAAGCGCTGCTAAAGTATTGCTTTAGAAAGCGCTTTATCAAAAGCGCTGGTAAAGGTCCACTTTAGACAGCGCTTTAAGAAAGCGCTGTCTAAAGTCATAAAAAATTATTTAAAAAAATCAGAAAAGCGCTGCTAAAGGACCCTATTAACCAGCGTTTTTCAAAAGCGCTGCTAAAGGTCCATATTAGCCAGCGCTTTTAGAAAGCGCTGTCTAAAGCCATATAAATGAAAATTAAAAAATAGAATCAGTGTATACTGTTTCTATTTCACAGATTCACAAACAAAAAGCGTAACCCTTTCCCTCCTTGAACATAAAGTGTAACTGTTTCTCTCCTTGAACAGAAACCGTAAATCCTTCGTCGTCGTACCAGCCCCCCTCCGTCCTCCACCGTCTCTCTCGGTTGTCCTCCACCCACACCGGTCGGTTCTCAAGGTAGGTTCTTTCTTGAAAATGTCTTTATCTCCATTGATGTCCAAACTGAGTTATCCTCCTATTGATAATGTACTATGCTAACATCTAAGACATTATCCTCCTATGGATGTCTAAACTGAGTTATATGTATGCATTTTGATTTTTGACTTCTTGGTAGGGCTTGATATATAACAGCAACACTTTTAGCATTTAGCATTATTGTATTTTCTTTTGGTTCTTTATTTTAGAATAAAAAAGATGATATATATGATGGGTTTTTTTTGTTATTTTAATTGGTTTCTGAATTGTTTATCATGTTTATATTCTCTATGAACTAGTATTTTTTTACTAGTATTTTGAACCTATATATATACAACTTGTTTTTGATGATCCCTTTGTATTGGTGTAGTTAGTCGAAGACCATCACCGATTCGAAGAACATCAAAGCCGCATCATCCGCCGTCGACACCAATAGCCCCTTTTTCTTTCTTTGGTAAGTCAAGTTCAACTTCTATCTATATCGATCAATTAAAAAACACAATTATTTTTATATAGATATATTTATTTTTAGTCCATGTTATTAACTCTATAAATAAATTTCTAGAAATAATTCGTTTAATTCAAACAATAAGAGAATAATCCGTTTATAGTGTTTTTGTTTACTTGAATAAGTAGAAAAAAATGGATAAAAAATGGATGTTTGTCGATCGATTGTCATAAGAGTACAATAATGGGGTATTGGAATTCGTTAAGTTTGATGTTGAACACGCCAAAGACCCCAGTCGAATGAAGTGTCCTTGCTTGGGTTGTTGTTATGTGGGTCGGGTTAACGCAGATGGATTGAAATCGCATTTACTAATGCGTGGAATTGATAGAAGTTATACGTGTTGGATATTTCACGGTGAAAAAAGTAACGACAATGTTGAACCGGGGGAGAAAAGTAGTACGGCTTATGCTTCAGACGACAAAGACACAGGTACATATGATTTTGATTGAGTCGAAGAGATTACAGATGCACTTGAAGAAGATCTTCAGGATTGTCCCAAAATGTTTGAGAGATTGGTAAGCGATGCAGAGAAACCGTTGTATAAAGGTTGCACTAAATTCACAAGACTGTCTGCGGTATTAAAGTTGTACAACTTAAAGGCGGGCAATGGATGGTCAGATAAAAGTTTCACATAGTTATTAGCCCTTATGAGATATATGCTTCCGGAGGATAATGTTCTTCCTAATCGAACCTATGAGGCCAAAAAAATGTTGTGCTCTATTGGCATGAGCTATGATAAGATACATGCTTGTCCAAACGATTGCATTTTGTTTCGAAACGAATATGCATCGTTAAATGAGTGCCCTAAATGCGGTTTGTCTCGATATAAGAAAAATTGTCTCCAACAAAAGTCTTATGGTATTTTCCTATAATTTCGAGATTTAGGCGCATGTTTCGTAGTGAAACTGATGCAAGACACCTTACTTGGCATGCAGATGAAAGAACTATTGATGGAAAGTATCGATATCCGGAAGATTCACCACAGTGGTCAAAAATTGATAATGATTATCCTGATTTTAGAGAAGAAGCAAGAAACCTTCGCTTGGCTTTATCTACTGATGGAATGAACCCGCGTGGTCTTCAAAGTATCTCACATACCACATGGCCTGTGATTATTATGATTTATAACCTACCTCCATGGCTATGTATGAAGCGTAAGTACATGATATTATCTATGTTAATATCTGGGCCTAAACAACCAGGGAATGACATAGACGTATACTTGACACCTTTGATCGAAGATTTAAAGATTTTGTGGGAGAACGGGGTGGAGGTTTATGATGGATATAGGAAACAAAGTTTCAATTTAAGGGCAATGTTGTTTTGCATAATTAATGAACTTCCAGCATACGGGAATCTATTTGGGTATAGCATTAAAGGTCAACGTGCGTGTCCTATTTGTGAAGATGGAACCGATACGACGCATTTGGAACTTTGTCATTAGAATGTGTTTCTCGGTCATCGTAGATTCTTACATTCTAAATATCACTACCGTGCATGGAGAAAAGCATTCAATGGAGACACCGAACAACGTAAAGCTCCACCTGCATTGTCAGGTGACCAAATTTTTGAAAAGGTGAAAGATGTGTGTACTCAGTTTGGCAATCCTTTTGCGCATACGATTGTCAAAGGTGGGTGGAAGAAGAGATCAATTTTTTTTGAATTGCCATATTGGAAGTCTCTGTATGTGAGACATTTTCTCGATGTTATGCATATTGAAAAAAATGTATTCGAAAGTGTTATTGGCACGTTACTTAATATTAAAGGAAAGTCTAAGGATGACCTTAAAGCAAGGGAGGACATGTTAAAGATGGGAATACGAACTGAACTATGACCCATGAAGAAAGGAAGCTGAACATATCTACCGCCTACTGCTTTTACTCTATCTAGAAAGGAGAAAAAGATATTGTGTAAGTTTCTAAGTGAAGTTAAAGTTCCAGAAGGATACTCTTCAGATATTAGAAGACTTGTGTCTGTGAAAGACCTCAAGTTAAAGAGTTTAAAGACACATGATTTTCATGTTATAATTGAGCATTTTCTACCAATAGGTATACGTTCTATTTTGCCAGATAAAGTAAGGAGTGAGATAACTAAGTTGTGTTTTTTATTTAGGTAAATTTGTAGTAAGGTGATTGATCCTGAGATCTTACCAACATTGCAAAAAGAAATTGTTATTACTTTGTGTGAGCTTGAAATGTATTTTCCTCCCTCATTTTTTGACATAATGGTACATCTAGTTGTTCATCTTGTGAAAGAGACACAGTTGTGCGGCCCAGCTTATATGAGATGGATGTACCCTACTGAATGTTATATGAAAGTATTAAAAGGGTACGTGAAAAACTAAAGTCGCCCAGAGGGTTGTATTGTTGAGCGATACATTGTTGAAGAAGCGGTTGAGTTTTGTACTGAATATTTGTCCAAAGTTCAATCCATTAGACTCCCCAAAAGTCATATTTTTGAAAAAAAAGGAAGGTAAAAGATTAATTGGAAATAAAATTGTGACAGTATTAAAAGATGAACGAGATCAAGTGCATCTGTATGTTCTACATAATGACAGTGAGGTTGAGCCATATGTTGAAATGCACAAGGATGTACTCCGAGGGTTAAATCAGAATAGAAATGAAAATTGGATAGTACGGGAGCACAATCAAAGTTTTATACCATGGTTTAAGGATCATATTTTTTCAAAGCTTCATTCCGATCCCGCTTCAATAACAGAAAGGTTGAGATGTTTGGCATATGGTCCAAGTTTGCATGTGTTTTCCTATAGCGCATACGCAATTAATGGATACACATTTTATACCAAAGAACAAGATGATAAAAGTACTATGCAAAATAGTGGTGTCACCGTGCTTGCTGAAGCAACGCACATTTCAAGTATGAAGGACCTAAACCCCAAATATGCAAATCTGTCATATTTTGGGGTTATCGAGCATATTTGGGTGTTTGATTATGAGAAGTTTCAGATTCCTATCTTTGGTTGTAAGTGGGTAAGTAGTGGTGGCATACGAATGGATAAGTCAGGATTTTTGCAAGTGGATCTTAATAGGGAGGGGTACAAAGATGAGCCTTTTATTCTAGCCTCTCAAGCTAAACAAGTGTTCTATGTCACTGACCCGGCGAGTAAAAAATGGTCTGTAGTGCTTTTATCTAACAAAGTGGTTGATGATAACGGTGTAGGCTAAGGTGATATTGATGATGAGAATGAGT